AAAAGAAACAAAGAAAGGGCTCAATAGAGCTCAAAGGGGAACACCGATTAGGAACCCAACCGAGAGCTAGTCAGCCTACCAAGGCGCTGCATCGTCAGCAAGAAGACCATTGAGCCAGACCGGACCACTCCTGGCAACATAGGACTGCAGTTGGTTCGTTTCAATCACACTGATTGCAATAGCGTTGGCAACACGGTTAGCAGTATAAGATGTATGAACCAGGCTCCATGAGACAAAGGATTGTAAGGTGATAAATATCTCATCCAGTAGAGGTCTCAGCTGCGGGAAGAGATGAGGTTCCATGAGAGCTTTCCGAGCAAGAATTAGGGGAGACTCAAAGATGACAGAGCTGAAACGTAAGTTTGCCAACGAAGAAATGGCCCAGGAAAAGCTGAGGAGCTCCGCTTCAAGCTGAGATGTTACTAGCGCATACGATCTTCTACTGTGAAACAGAACCGAGCCTGAGTGGTCTCTAATTAACCATGAGGCACCGCTATTGAAAGTACCAGGGTGCCATAAGCAACCAATGTTACACTTTAGCGAGTGAAGGGCAGGTTTCCTCCATCTGTGGAGATACAAACTTTACATATAAGAATCGTGAGCATGATCATCTATTCATCCACCTTATCTCTTTGTTTCAATTCTACTTATATAAACCACTGGTGAAATATTCTTCCATCAACACCAATTGAAACAGAACAAAAAAAAAACTCAAAAAAGAGAGATCAAAATCAAAGAGTGTGTGCTCATGACAAGAAACAAAGTGAAACTTGCATGGGTAGAGAATGAAAGCTCAAGAGTGATAAGTTTGAAGAAAAGAAGGTTGGGGTTGGTGAAAAAGGCGAGAGAACTAACTATATTGTGTGATGTAAAGGGTTGTTTGATAATATTCAGCCCCAATGAGGTTGAGCCAACGGTGTGGCCATCTCCTGAGGAGACTCATGACCTCCTAGACGATTTCTTTGCCTTACCGGAGATCGAGAAGAGGAAGAGAGAGCTGGGCCTTGAATCCTACCTCAAGGATAAGACAAGAAAAGTTCAAGAGCAGTGGAGGAAGAATCATAAGAAGAACATGGAGCAGGTGATCGATCAACTGATGCTGCAACTACATCACGGTCGAAGATTTGGTGATCTTAACTTGAACGAGATCTATAAACTGCTATCTTTCTCAAAGGATAAGATCATGCTTCTCAGGCGAAGGCTAGATTCCATGGAGCATCCTCCTCTTCGCGATCCACCGATGCATCCTTTTGAGGCGCAGCCCAAGGAGTACTCTAATACCACCAAAAATGATGTTCTCGTGATAGGAGGTGGTAAAGACGATGATAGATCGGGGAAGAACGATGAAGCAATGCAAAGGGTTAACATCGGTTCTGTACTAAGGGGCAATCAAAGTCACTACTTGATGGATAAGTGGTTTGTTGCATCTACTGATGAACCACTCAACTCTCGAGTCCACCAGCGAGCCGGGATTGAAGATCCAAACCCTAGAAGTTATCTTCCGTACCAAGGAAGTTATCTTCCATACCAAGGAAGTAGTAGCAATGGAAACGCCAATTGGGAGATGGAGCCGATTGGTCTCCCGGTGATGAACTTCAGTGATTTGCTTGGGTCAGTCTCTCAACCATTACAACATCATCATAACGTGGTCAATATTCCAATAATGGATATGAGTCAACCAAGGCAATACCCTTTTAATTTCATGAGCCGTGGACTTGGAGTGAAAGAGGAAGGAAGCAACATCAACAATGGTGATCCTCACTTTCACTGGAGCAACAGCAACACTATGACGGCCAACAATGGTTTCCGTCAAGAGCCACCACCACCTGATAGAACAAGTGCTGAAGAAGGTAACGTTGATGCGGCGTTGTTTGATATCAATATGGATTGGCCGGGTATCAACAATCCTCATTTCTAGATTTGTAGGAATGATATTATGTTTGTTTTGAGTTCTTTTGAAACTGTGTTTGTGTTCTGTTTTTTATCTTTTGATTTTCGTTTGTGTTTGTTTGCTTAAGGATTCATGGTTATGGACCTTTAAAGCCTTTTATCTTTGTCATTTTGATTCATCATGATGTCAACAACCTATTCGGTAATTTTTGGGAGCTAATTCTAGACTGGTAGGAATGATATTATGTTTTTATTATCATGTTTAATTTTTTTTGAATCTTTTTCAAACTGTGTGTGTGTGTGTCTTTCTTTCCCTTAAGAGTTAAAACAATAAAACATTTTAATCTTGTCATTTTTATTTTCCAACTAGTTAGGTAATTTTGAGAAGCTAATTCAACTGAGTTTTTCTTTGACAATAAACACCAATTCGCATACAAAACCCAGAACAACGAAACAATACGAAAAAAACGAAATCAACATCAATTATCACCAATAACACGATTAAACACATAAATCAACATGAACTCAACTAATCAATCAATTTTCTAGCAATTACGAGACTATGATCACGCACTCACCTCTAAAATAGATTGAAAAGGGGGAAATGAGAGATGATGACAACGAACAACTATGAACGGCACTTCGATCTGACTCTAAAAACTCGAAAATCTCTCGAAAATCTCCACTTCTCTTCTCTGAAATTTTTCACCTCGAAAAGTGTGAAGAAAATGCGGCTGGTCCTCTTTTAACCAGAAAATAAGGGTTTCTGATCGCGGATCAGGTCTTCCCTTTTCCTATCCCTGATTATACAAGTGCATAGGTCAGAAGTAATAAACGGGTATCGAACACAAAGACCAGATTGCACACTACAAACTATGAGATTGAGATCGAGCTAGGGAAAACAGAATTGGATTGGTTGATGTGCAGTGAAAGCAAAGGCATGCAAATTAATAAAATATTGAAATCAATAGGAGAGAAGGGCTAAGCAATAAGATAGTCTTAAGATAAGCAATTCAAGAAGCAAGGATCGATCGATTAGGGTTATTGTAATTATGTGCCATTTAGAACCAGAAACATTATGGTATGATCTTTCCACTTTCGTGGCTCCGACCCCTTTGTAAACCTCTAATGATAGGATTTGTGTGTGATGTGAAGATATGAAATGAAATGAGGTGGAATGCAACAGTGGTAATGAAGATGGATGGTATGGTGCAAACACAATCACAATCAATCAATTCCCCTTAACCATCATAGTCGATGTAGTATAAGGGTTATCAATCCAAAAGGGTGAAATGACTCTTTGAGTTTATGAAACACAAGAAAGTCAAGCAGCAATAAATAAAATGATAAGTAACACTAACAACCTAAAGAAATGAAATGCATGCAATAAAGTAAAAGAAAGCAGTAAAGCAAGCAGCTCGACCAAGGACTCGATCGAGTGGGAACAGAGTAACCAAGCTCGATCGAGTTGAGGGTCGAGTTAGCGTAAAAAGCGATAAAGGCAGGAACTTTAACAAGCTAATGCGAATATTAGGGTCTAAGACAGGGTCTTACAACTAGGGGAAGACTATACTTAATCAATCTTGCTCTTAAACAACTTGTATCAAGGTATCTCTTGATATTGAGCTTCTCAATGCCTAGCTAACCCTTTCCCAAGGTGAAAGCTATCATCCAAGGCAAGATCTCAGAAACAGGGGGTTAGCCAGTGAGAATCAAGCCTTGGAGGCATAGGATCATTGCTCAAACTAATCCATCCAACACCTATGAACTCCATTTCGAGAGCAAGGTTTATTGGAGCTCTTAGTGGACCTTTTCAAGCGATTTCCAACACTTCCATGTGGAAAATCGCCTAGACTCATACAAGCCAGGGGTAGTGGTCATGTAGCCTTAAGGTTTGTCCAAAAGAGAGAGATTTCTAGATTAAGAACATAAGCAAAAGAGATTAAGCATAAGGATCTCTAATCTAGCCCATGAATGAAAACACAATCAAATGCAATGAAATGACATTAAATGAAAGAGGAGATGAAACTAAAGAACTTTTATTGAAATAAGCAAGTGCAAATACAAAGAAATAGCCTAGATCTAAGGTTCAAGAGCAAGAGCTCAAGAACACAAAGAGGCTTAGGTTGCAAAAAGTAAAATACAAATTAAAGAAAAGCTAAAACAAAAATAAGCTAAAGATTGTTGTCTTTTTCGTGGCTTAGAGCCTTTAAATACAAGAGGATTAGGTTTAGGGTCAAAGGGAAGTCAAGGGGGAAGCAACATTTTTCGGGTTTGACTTTGACTTCTCAGCTCGATCGAGTTGAACTTGGCCGGTCGAGCTGACTTCAAGATGACTTCCTCCTTCTTCCTTTGCGTTGTTGAGCTGCGTCCATGCACCAAGTCCTTCCTTGCTCCTCACGTCCCAATGCTCCAAAGTGCTCCAAAAGACCTATTTCAAAGGACCAAACATGCATATGTATGCAAATGCAACCTAAAACTACTATGAATGCATAAGAAGAGAAAAGGAACAAGATATGATGCTAATGGATGCTAAAACTATGCAAAAGATGCATAAAAGATGTACTAAAACTATGTAAAATGCAAGTACATCAACACCCCCAAACTTGACCTTTGCTTGCCCTCAAGCAAACAAATAGAACAAGAAAGAGATGAGGTTTGAAAACAAGTTGATTCAACCTTAAAAACATGTCCTCAAAAGCGATTTGCTAAATGTCCAACTTAGAGATTCTAGAATGCAACAAGGTGAGAGATATTCATTAAGATTTTAACCATGCTTATCAACATCAATCCCACTTCACAGTCACTCAAACAATGCATTCAAATCAGCAAATCCCTTTAACATTTATTAAGTAAAATCAGTGAACCAAAAACATGCAAGATCAATCAACTCATTTGGTTTAAGGGTTTATGGGTTAAGAGACAAAGAGGGTCTCTTTTGTATGGTGGTTTAGTAACAGGGATCTCTCAAGAAAGTGGCTTTGCTTTGGCAGAAGGCTAAGTGTTAGAACCAAAGATGATGCAAGAGCAGCAACTCGAGCCACCTAATCCTAACTCGATCGAGTTCAACACTTAGAGCTTTTTAGAACAAATCCTAACTACCCTTTTGGCATTTCGCCTTTGAAACAGAGGAGCTTTGCTCACTTTTCTTTTAAGAACAACTAGGGAGAGGCTTCTTGAGGTAACATCTAGCGGTTTGGGATTTTTCTATACTTAGGGAACTTTTTCTTTCTTTTGAACACTTGAGGCTTTGCCTTCTTTTCTTTCTACTTAGAACCCTTTTTCTTTCTTTTTTAACTTCCCAAACCTTTACTAGACCCTTTTTTAAACAATGCCAACTCCCTGGACTTAACTAAACTCTTTTCTTTTGGTTTTTCCCAACTTTTACCACTTTTCTGGTTTTGACACCCAACTCGATCGAGCTCGAGTTGGCACCCCCAAACTTAGCCTGAAAACAATCCCAAGAGAACTAGACAACTAGAACTACTGCCCCTGCCGGTTTAAACACAACACCTTATGCTAAGCAAAGCCAAGAAAGGTTCTCACATTCGCACAAGAGATAATATGGGGTTTGAAATGAAAAAGGCTTAGGTTTAAGGTGTGGTAACTGTCTCAAAGATGGAGATCAGCTATCTGGACAAGCAAGAGGGATATGAAATGGTAAAGAATGTCCAGATATGTATGTGGTAGCCATGAGTTGAAATCAAATGCAAGCATTGGTAATTAAAGATCAAGTTATGGTTCAAATAGATAGGGAAATGCATCAAATCACAGCAATGGTTGAATGAGATGTGCATGCAGTGATATGATCAAGATAAACATGGTTCTTGTTGCTCAATCAATCTCACCCTAATGCACAAAAGAATCTAAAAATAGGGCACTCAAGAAATCGCAAATGATGAACAAGTTTTCAAGTCAAATCAACAATGCACAACTAAAACAGAAAATGATGCAATCCTAAACAATTCTAACAAATATGAATGCAAAAAGATGAAAATATTTTTGGATTTTTTTTTTTTTTTTTGGTTTTTCTATGCAAATAAGATGAAAAACTAAGAACAAAGAAAACAAGGTTAAATCATCTCTTGAACCCTCCCCCAAACTTAAATCACACAGTCCCTTGTGTGAGAAAAATTCAGTGAAGATTCAAGAGGCAAAAACCAAGAAAAATAAAAATGCAAGAAAATATGAAATGGTATTTACAAGGGGTGGTGTTTGGATACCTTAGTGCCCCCCAAAGAACTGGGAGGCAAGGTCGTGGTCTGGAGAGGGCAGGCGGCCATCAGGAGCACTCCATCGACCATATCCATGCAGCTCGATCGAGCTTGCGGCTCTCTCTTCTTCTTCTTCCTTGAAGTGTGTGTGGCTCCCTTGGCCTTGGTGGAGCTTGGCTCGCTCGAACTGGCCGTATGGGTTCCATGCTCTGGGGATAGTCCTGGTAAGGTGCTGGATCGTACTCAAATCCAGGGTTCTCGAATACTGGCTCCTCCAGGTCAACTCGACCATCAGCTCGATCGAGTTGAGTTTCCTCTGTTTGGACTCGATCGAGTCCACTGGTCGAGTTGGAGCGTCGGGCTTGGAACTCTTCCTCCTCCTCTGCGTGTTGTCTTCCTTCTTCCCTTGGTTCAAATGATGAGGCTCTGTGAGGTTCTTGGGCAGGGAGTCTCCTTGGCGTGGTGAGGAGGGATCGACTCCTAGGGAATGTAGAAGCCATGGGTGTCTTCTTCTTCTTGATGAAGAACCAGACCTTCTTCTCCAAACTCTTAATCTTGCTCACCATTTTCCATGGACTTTTGCATTTTCTCTGGGCCTTCCCTTGCCACTTGTTGAACTTTTGGAGAAGTCCAATCCTCTTGTGAGCAGCCACAACAGAGGGGTTCATCCTTGGAGCCTCATACTCCTCAAAGTAGTAGCAATCAGGCTCACCCAACACCTCATCCACTTGGGCTCGGTCCTCAGCTCGATCCTCAACTCGATCGAGTTCAGGCTCCTCTTCTCGCAAATCATCTTCATGCCCAACTAATGTGAAGTGGGGGTCTGAAGTCAATGTTGTGCCTCTACAACTGTGGTGAGCTTGGGTTGGGCAAGAGCTTTGGAAGGGCCAGCCGTGGGGTGTGTGAACTTGAATTGGTATTTCCCATTCACTCCTTGTGGTCAATGAGGAGGTTGGTCTTGCAAAATTTGATGTCCATCCACCAGGCTCAGTAGCTTTCTTATCAGTTGGGTTCACGCCAGCAGCACACAAGATAGGGTGATGAGACCTCCAACACTTAGCTTTCTTCCTTGTTGATATCGAGTGTTATAGGCCGTGGTCTTGTAGGTGAGGAGGTGATCTAGAAAGGGCATGAGATTTCCAGTGTTTGATCTGTCTCCCTTGATCCTCTTCCCATCGCTTGTGTGTGAGATAATGGGCTTGATTCCCATATCAAGAAGCTTGAGCTCTCCCTCATTTATGGTACCGGTTGCCTTCCTTGCAAAGAAGGTGTTGGCGAGTGCCTTGTGAACATACCTCAGCACAGGTCTCCTTATCTGAGCAGCCTTAGATCTTGAAGAACAGAACTCTCCCTCAGCGATTGTAGCCCAAACACTTTGAATTCCCTTTCCTTGAAATTCCACTCAGTCCCTTCTCCATAGTTGAAGCCAAACAAGATCTCCAACTGCCTAAAAGTGACCATTCTCTTGACTCCAAGTGCCAAAAACGTGATCCACCCCAAGCCTTGATCCAAATCGGTTCTATCCTCTTCATCATACAAGTGGTACCTCAATGAAGCCAAGAACTCACAAGTTAGCTCCTTGTATGATTCCATGCGATGAGAAAAGAACCTCCTCAAGTGCATGTTCTTGAGTACCAACTCCACATCATTAAAGATTCCAAGGGCCTTCATGGTTTTGTCATGAGGGTACTTGGTTTCCAAAAATTCCATGGAGAGGAGAGCATTGTAGTGCTCTTGGAACATGGGGAGTTCATCCTCCTCTTCTTGTGGCTCAGCTTCCTCCATTGGCCCATTTTCATTGCTCTCATGCTCACTCCCATCCATCTCTTGATTAACCTCTTCCCCTTCTTCACTTAGAGAGTCATCTTAGAGAGTCATCACTTTCTTCTCCCCCAATGTTCACCCCAATCTCAAACTCTCCCAATTTGCTCTCACTGCTAATGGGATCATTCCTTCTCTTGGTCCTTCTCTTGGTCCTTCTCCCTTCCCTCAATCTCTCAATCTCTTCCACATCCTCCTTGCTCATTCCTTTTAGCATTCTCCTTTCACCTCTCGCTATCTCCTGCTTTCTTGCCTTGCTTCCTTCACCTCTCAACATCTTAAACTTGTTGCTTCTCAAAGTTGAGTCCCTGAAATTCATCAAAAATCCAAGGAATTTAGAATTGTACTGATCGACTCGGTCAACTCGACACCCAACTTGATCGAGTCAAAAAAACTCGAGTGACAAACTCGATCGAGCTAAGTGAAAACAGAGTAAAACCGAGTCTAAATCAAGTGTTAAGAGCTAGATAGGATGCTAAACAATCAAATAGAACCAAGAACATCAAGAACTTGGAACAATGAGCAATTCTAGTGAAGATTAAAGCATCTTAGCCAATTACCAAATTCAAACTCAAGGTTTTAAGCATATGCAACAATTTTAATGGCAAAACAGAGGTGAGGTGAGGCAAGTTCACAAAATTCTATAAGCAGAAGATAAACATGAATGCAATACTCAAGAATAGACTCACAAGAGACATGCAAGCAAAAATTCAATAGAACAAAATGCAATAAGGGAAAGAGAGGAATCAAAACTATAGACTTGAGGGTTTAGGGATCAAACCTTGCTTGATGATGAATGTTCTAGAACAGTAACTAGAAACTGAGGCAATTTAAGATACAAAACAAGGAAAAATCGCCAAAAACTCAAGAGATTTTTGGATTTTCTTAGAGAGAAGGGAGAGAGATGGGTGTTTTCAGGAAATTTTGAGTGTGGGAAAGAGAGAGAGAGTTATGGGGAAGAGGGAGTGTTTGAGATGTGTGGTGAGGATTAAAAGAGGGTTTAAAGAGGGGACAAAAGCTAAGGGTTTTTCTGATCGATTTAGGAAAGTGGGGGACCAAAATTTACATGTGGGACCCACCCCCTTGACCAAGGAAACGGTTAGAAATTTGAAATTCAAAAACTTACCTTGGTCGAGTTGTGGAACTCGATCGAGTTACCTTTGTTTCTGGCTCGATCGAGCTGTCGGTCGAGCTGCTTCTTGTCACCTAAACTTAATCTTCCTGAAAGGTTAAGACACAAAATACTAGATAGAAATTGCAATAAAGAATATGTACAAGGATAGTCATGGGACTTCCTCCCAAGTGAGCTTGTTTAAGGTCCCATAGCTTGACCTTTACCTTTTAGGCATTGGTTGAGCTAGTCCCACCATCAAGGGTGATAGTGAGGACTTGGGATAGAGCTCCTTTAGCTTGGTTGGATCCCTGGATTGCTCTGAAGTGACCAAGGCCTTGGCTCTAGAGAATGGTCTTGATCTCCCTTGTACCTTATCTTGTACTCAATCTTCCCATTTTCAAATTGGTGGGGAACAAGGTCATAGTGAGCTGAGATGGCTTGGCTGAGGAAACCTGAGCTGGTGGGTTCTTTCTTTTCTCTCCCACAAGTGCCTTTGAGGCTGCATCCTCCCCTTCTTTTTGAGCGCTTCCTAGTGGCTCATCAAACAAAGCTTGAGGCTTTCCTCATCAAGGACACATGGTGCTTGAACAAGTCTATCAGCTCGTGGCCATCAGATCGTGGTCTCTCAACTCTAGGCCTCTCAAGGCGTGGTTTCTCAATCCTTGGTCCCTTATCAACTCCTTTGTCCTTCTCAACCTTATCTCTCACAACTCTTGGCTCTTTTCAACCTTTTCCTTCACAACCTTAGCAACTTCAGGACTCTTGGATCTCAGAGGAGTGCTTTCAATTGGTACCACAATACTGATCCTCTAGGCTGCAAGCGATAAGACACCAAACTATTCACCTTGTGAAGAATCACTTCTTGTTTGTGAAAGTCTATTGAAGCGCCAACTGTGCTAAGGAATGGGGTTCCCAATAGCAGAGGTAGATCCTTCTCTTCTTCCATCTCCATGACAGTGAGGTCAGTTTGGATGATGCATTCTCCTATTTTCAAGTGATAGTTCTTGAACACACCAAGAGGAGACTTAGAAGTTGCATCTCCAAACATGATTGAAGTAGTAGGGCGCTGCAATGCTCCAGCAATGCCAAGCTTTTCTGCCATTGTGAGTGAGATGAGGTTGATGCTTGCACCAGAATCCACCAAGGCATTGTCAAGCTCAATATGCCCAAGTGTGCAAGGGAGAGTGAACTTTCCCTTGATCCTTCACCTTTGGTAAGAAAGTAGGTGAGTAAGCAGGTTGATTTGGTGAGTAGACATCTCCAGAAGCTCTGAAACCTTTTCCTTGTTAGCCATAACATCTTGAATCAACTTCATTTGCTCAAATGCCTCACTCATGCTTTCCATAGAAGGCAACTCAACTCCAATCTCACTAGGTCTCTTCTGAACTTGTGAATCACTTCCTTATGGCTTTGACTGAGTAGGCGGCCTGATGATGGATCAACTGGCTGGTAAGGATCAAGCAAAATCGGCTTGAGGACGGATGATGTCTGACTCGATCGAGCTAGAGTTCGACTCGATCGAGCTGCCGATCGAGCTTGTTGTGCGAGCTCAACTGGTGAAGTGTGAAAGGCTACAGTAGTGGCTTGCACTTCAGGTTGATCAATCTGGACTCCAGGAGCCTCAGCAACAACATCTCGTCGTCATTCAGCAGCAACAAAACTCTTCCATGACTCTCTCTTGATCCTCTTCTTCATCAAGACCTTCTTGAGTGAAGATGACCTTGCACTGTTCCTTGGGGTTCTGAATGGCTTTACCAGGTAGTTGTCCTTGCTTTGTAGCAGCAGCAACAGAAGAAGCATGATTCTCCAGAGAGTACACTCTTGTGTTGAGATTCTCAATCTTGGAGTTGATTTCAGCCAACTTCTTGCTTGTGTCCACAACACCATCAGCTTGCCTTGGAGCAATTGTTTCAACATAGCCTTGAGCTCATGCTCAGGTGTAGGTGCAGGCTGGGGTGGTTGGTGGGGAAAGCCAGGTGGATATGTGCATTTGCTGACCAGGAAAAGTCCCTTGAGGGCCTTGGTAGTTGTTTTTAGGACCATACCCATGTTGTGAGCTTGACTCGATCGAGCTTGCTGTTGTTGAGGATAACCTGGTCCTGAGGGTTAGGCAACGTCAGTGTTTCTGTATGACATGGCTGGGTTGGACTTGTAATTATAGTATCCTTTGTTGTAACCTCCTTGCCCATTGCTCATGTAACATACTTCAGCAAATTGTGTATCCTCCCCTTCTTGGACTGGTTCCATCTCTTCAGCAGACACAAAATTGACCTTCTTCATTGTGGACTGAGCTAAGATAAGCTTATCCAACTTCTCATTCAACGATTTGACATCTTTTCTCAATTTCTCATCGGACTCGATCGAGTGGTGGGTCGAGCTCCGGTTGGTGCGATCATACTCTTCTCCATAGCTTCCATTGGAGTTTGCAATGTTTTCCACAAGCTGCCAGCCATCATCCACATCCTGATTAAGGAAGTTTCCATTGCTGGCTGTGTCCAACATCTCTCTATACCTTGCCAAACAACCTCTATAGAGAGTAGAGAGCAATGACTCATTGTTGAATCCATGATGGGGGCACTGACTTGTGTAGCCTTTGAATCTCTCCCAAGCCTCAGCAAAAGTCTCATTGTTCCTCTGATGAAGCTGATATCTCACTCCTTAGCTTGGCTGTGCGACCGGTGGAGAAAAACTTAGCAAGAAAGGCCTTCTTGCATTCATCCCAAGTGGTGATTGTGCCATGGGGCAGGCTCTTCTCCCATTGGTGAGCCTTGTCAGCAAGAGACATAGGGAAGAGTCTCAGCTTGATGGCATCCTCAGAGACACCATTGATCTTGGTCAATCACATAACCTATCAAACTCATCAAGGTGATCAATGGGGTCTTCACTTGGCAATCCATGGAACATCTTGTTCTGCACAAGGTTGATCATACCCAGCTTGATCTCGAAGTTGTGGTTCTGGACAGGTGGTGGGACAATCCCTTGTCTTTGTTGATGGCGGTTTGGAGCATCTCCTAGACCAATCGGTCGAGGTTGCCTAGCTCGACCGAGTCCATTGCCCAAAGGGTTTCCATTACCCTCTGGTACATCCATGGTTTCAGTAACAACACCTCAGGTTCTACTTGTACCTCTGAGTTCTCTGACTTCTCTTTCTACCCGTGGTGAAATCTAGCTCGACCAAGTCTTTTGTTTCGACTCGATCGAGTTCGCATACACCTACAAAATGAATCAAAAACCCAGCAATACAAAGAACAGGGGTGGGATAGCTTGATCGTCCAAGTGTATTGGAAACTCAAATGCAACAATATTCAACCCAAATGGCAACGGCGCCAAATTGATGATAGGATTTGTGTGTGATGTGAAGATATGAAATGAAATGAGGTGGAATGCAACAGTGGTAATAAGATGGATGGTATGGTGCAAACACAATCACAATCAATCAATTCCCCTTAACCATCATAGTCGATTGTAGTATAAGGGGTTATCAATCCAAAAGGGTGAAATGAAGCTCTTTGAGTATGCAATCACAAGAAAGTCAAGCAACAGTAAATAAGATGATAAGTAACTCTAACAACCTAAGAAATGAAATGCAAGTGCATAAAGTAAAAGAAAGCAGTAAAGCAAGCAGCTCGACCAAGGACTCGATCGAGTGGGAACAGAGTAACCAAGCTCGGTCGAGTTGAGGGTCGAGTTAGCGTAAAAAGCGATAAAGGCAGAACTTTAACAAGCTAATGCAAATATTAGGGTCTAAGACAGGGTCTTACAACTAGGGGAAGACTATACTTAATCAATCTTGCTCTTAAACAACTTGTATCAAGGTATCTCTTGATATTGAGCTTCTCAATGCCTACCAAGGTGAAAGCTATCATCCAAGACATGATCTCAGAAACAGGGGGTTAGCCAGTGAGAGTCAAGTCTTGGAGGCAGTAGAATCATTGCTCAAACTAATCCATCCAACACCTTTCCCAAGGTGGAGGCTATCAACCAAAGAATGATCTCAGAAACAGGGGGTTAGCCTGTGAGAATCAGACCTTGGAGGCTATAGGATCATTGCCCAAACTAACCCATCCAACCCCTTAGACCTCTATGTCTAGAGCAAGAGATATTGGAGCTCTTAGTGGATCTTTTCCAGCGAATGCCATCACTTTCGTGTGGGGAGTCGCCTAAGGACTTACAAGCCAGGGGTAGTGGTCATTTAGCCTTAAGATCTATCCAAAAGAGAGAGAATCTAGATTAAGACCATAAGCTAGAAGGATTAAGCATATGAAACCTCTAATCTATCCCATCTCAAACCCTAATGGGTAACTACTCACTACACATGAATGTAAACACAAGCAAATGCAATAAAAGAGACATCATAAGAAAGAGGAGATGAAATTAAACAACTTTTATTGAAATAAGCAAGTGCAAATACAAGAGAGATTAACCAGGATCTAGGATTCAAGAAGCAAGAGCTTCAAGAACACAAAGATGAGATTAGATCTCTAAAAAGTAAAAGTACAATAAATTAAAAGAAACTAAAACAATAATAATCTAAAGCTTGGTGGTTTTTTGTGGCTTTTAGCCCTTAAATACAAGAAGGATTAGGTTTAGGGTCAAAGGAAAGTCAAGGGGGAAGCAACATTTTTCGGGTTTGACTGTTGACTTCTCAGCTCGATCGAGTTGAAGCTTGGCCGGTCGAGTAGATGGTCGAGCTGGTCTTCAAGGTGGACAAGCATGTGGTAGCCATGAGTTGAAATCAAATGCAAGCATTGGTAATTAAAGATCAAGTTATGGTTCAAATAGATAGGGAAATGCATCAAATCACAGCAATGGTTGAATGAGATGTGCATGCAGCGATATGATCAAGATAAACATGGTTCTTGCTGCTCAATCAATCTCACCCTAATGCACAAAAGAATCTAAAAACAGGGCACTCAAGAAATCGCAAAAGATGGACAAGTTTTCAAAGTCAAATCAACAATGCAAGTGAAAAATGCAATCCTAAACAAGTCTAACAAATATGAATGCAAAAAGATGAAAATATTTTTGGATTTTTTGAAAATTTTATGATTTTTTTGGTTTTTCTATGCAAAAGATAAATGAAAAACTAAGAACAAAGAAAACAAGGTTAAATCATCTCTTGAACCCTCCCCCAAACTTAAATCACACAGTCCCTTGTGTGAGAAAAATTCAGTGAAAGATTCAAGAGGGCAAAACCAAGAAAAAACAAGAACAAATGCAAGAAAATATGAAATGGTATATACAAGGGTTGGTGTTTGGATACCTCAGTGTCCCCCAAAGAACTGGGAGACTAGGTCGTGGTCTGGAGATGGGAGACGGCCATCAGGAGCACTCCATGCAACTGGGGTTGCCTCTTGGGCTCACTCGATCGAGCTTGTGGCTCCTCTTCCTCCTCTTCTTCATCTTCAAAGTGGGTGTGGCTTCCTTGGCCTTGGTGGAGCTGGCTAGCTCGAAGCTGTATAGGGGTCCATCTACTGGGGAAGTCCTGGTAAGGCTGGGATCGTACTTCGAATCCAGGATCTCAAACAGGGGCTCCTCCAGGTCAACTCGACCGTCAGCTCGATCGAGTTGAGTTTCCTCTGTTTGGACTCGATCGAGTCCGGTGGTCGAGCTGGAGCGTCTGGCCTTGGAAGTCTTCCTCCTTCTCTGCGTGTTGTCTCTCCTTCTCTTGGCTCGAAAGAAGAGGCTCTGTGAGGCTCTTGGGCAGGGAGCCTCCTTCTAGGAACCTTCTTCTCCAAACTTTTGATCTTGCTCACCATCTTGTCCATGGACTTTTGCATCTTCTCAATGGCTTTCCCTTGCCATTTGTTGAACTTTTGGAGAAGTCCAATCCTCTTGTGGGCAGCCACAACAGAGGGGTTCATCCTTGGAGCCTCATACTCCTCAAAGTAATAGCACTCAGGCTCACCCAAATCAGCACTTCCTGGACCTGATCTTCAGCTCGATCTCAGCTCGATCGAGCTCGATCGAGCTCTTCTTCTTGCAAATCCGCTCATGCCCAACTAATGTGTACACAGGGGGTCTGAAGTCAATGTTCTCACCTCCTAGACCGTGGTGAGCTCAGGGTTGGGCAGGAGAAGCTTGGAGGGTCCAGCCAATGGATGGTGAACTTGAATTGGAATCTCCCATCCAACTCCTTGTGCTCAATGAGGAGGTTGGTCTTGCAAAACTTGATGTCCATCCAACCTGGTGGAGTAGACCTTCTCTTGTCCAGTTGACTCCAGCTGCACAAAGATAGGTGTGATGACCCTCCAACACTAAGCTTTCTTCCTCTTGATGCCTAGTGTTGTAAGCTGTGACTTGTAGGTTGGAGCTGCTCAAGGAGAGGCATGAGTTCCCTGCGTGTGCCCTATCTCCTCTGATCTTCTTCCCATCTTGTGCGTGAGATGATGGGCTTGATTCCCATGTCAAGAGCTTCACTTCTCCCTCATTGATTGTCCAGTGGCTTTCCTTGCAAAGAAGGTGTTGGCAAGTGCCTTGTGCACATATCTCAAGCACTGGGCTCCTGATCTGAGCAGCCTTGGACCTTGAGGAAGAGTACACTCCATCAGCGATTGTAGCCCAACTCTTTGGAGTTCTTTTCCTTGATGTTCCATTGGTTCCTTCTCCATAGTGAACCCAAACAGATCTCCAAGCTGCCTAAAGGTCACCATCTTCTTCTCTCCCTTAGCCAAGAACGTGATCCCCCAATCCTTGGTCCAACTCAGCTCGATCGAGCTCATCAAATGTGTACCTCATTGAAGCCAAAAACTCACAAGTGAGCTCCTTGTAGATCCATGCGGTGAGAGAAGAACTTGGCCAAGTGCATGTTCTTGAGCACCAACTCCACATCCTCAAAGATTCCAAGGGCCTTCATGTGTCATCATGTGGGTACTTGGTCTCCACAAAGTCCATGGAGAAGAGAGCATTAGTGCTCTTGGTACATGGGGAGCTCATCCTCCTCTTGCTCTGCCTCAGCCTCTTCCATTGGCTCATCTTGGTTCCCTCTTGTCATCTTCATCAACCAATTGGTTCACCTCTTCTCCTTCCTCTTCACTCTCAGTCTCATCACTTCCTTCTTCATTTGGAGAGCCATTTCCCTCCTCTTGAACAAGGTTCACTCCAATCTCAAACTCCCCTTGCTCACTCTCACTACTAATGGGTCATTCCTCTTCTTGGTTCTCCTTTCCTCCCTCAATCTCTCACTCTCAGACTTCTCCTCAGAGTAGACATATCCTCTGCATCAGACTCTTCCATCCTCTGATCCATCCTCTCCAAATCGGCTTGCATCTTAAGCCTTCTTTCCCTTGCATTGCTTGATTCACCCTCAACCATTCTCCTTGTGAAGCGCTTCCCTCACTGTTTGTCATCTTGTTACACTGTTTCTTCACTAAAGTACCTGAAATGCATCAAAGATTACAAAGAATTAGAGTTGTAATGATCGGTTTGGTCAACTCGACACTCAGCTCGATCGAGTCAAAAAACTCGAGTGACAAACTCGATCGAGTTGGGTGAAAACAGAGTATAACCAAACCTAATTCAAGTATTAAGAGCTGGAAAGGATGCTAATCAATCAAATTGAACCAAGAACAACTAGTAAATGGAACAATGAGCAATTCTAGTGAAAACTAAGCATCTTAACCAATACCAAACTCAAATTCAATTTCAAGCACATGCAACAAGTTTAAAGGCAAAACAGAGGTGAGGTGAGGCAAACTAACAAGATTATAAGCAGAGGCGAAATATGAGCAATTACTCAAGAACAAGTCCACAAGGGACACATGCAATCAAAAATCAAAGAGAAACAAGCAATAATGAAATCGAGATGGAGAATCAAGGGTTTTAGGGTTCATACCTTGTTGAATGATGGAATTGAAGAGCAGTAAACTAAAACCCAAGCAAAACAATGAAGAACAAGAGAAATCGCAAAAACTTAAGAGAGAGAGATTGAAATTCGAAATTTTCTTGTGGTGAAGAGAGAGAGAGATGATTTCAGAAATTTTAAGTGTGGGAGAGTGGAGAAGTGGATTCGATCGAGTTATGGGGAAGAGGGTGTTTGAGATGTGTGGTTGAGATTAAAAGATGAAATAAAGAGGGAACAAGAAGCTAGGGATTCTCTGATCAAATTAGGGTAGTGGGGGACCAAAATCAGCTTGTGGGACCCACTCCCTTGACCAAGAAAACGGTTATGAATTTGAAATTCAAAAACTTACCTCGGTCGAGTTGTGTAGCTCGATCGAGTTGCCCTGGTTTCTAGCTCGATCGAGCTATCGGTCGAGCTGGCTCCTTGACACCTAAACTTAACTTATTCAAAGGTTAAAACATAAAGATAGATAGAAATTGCATAAATAGAGTATGTACAAGGATAAACATGGGACTTCCTCCCAAGTGAGCTTGTTTAAGGTCCCATAGCTTGACCTTTACCTTCTTAGGCATTGGTTGAGCTAGTCCCACCATCAAGGGTGATAGTGAGGACTTGAGACAGAAGCTCCTTTAGCTTGGTTGGGTCCCTGGACTGTTCTGAAGTCACCAAGGCCTTGGCTCTAGAGAATGGCCTTGATCTCCCCTTGTACCTTATCTTGTACTCAATCTTCCCATTTTCAAACTTGGTGGGGAACAAAGTCATTGTGAGCTGAGATGGCTTGACTGAAGGGGCCTGAGCTGGTGGATCCTTTCTTTTATCCCTGGTCTTGCCTTAGAGGCTACATCCTCCCCTTCTTTTAGAGCCCTTCCTAGTGGCTCATCAAACAAAGCTTGAAGGCTCTCTTCATCAAGCACACAAGGGGCTTGAACAAGTCTCAGCTCTTGGCCTATCAGATCGTGGTTTCTCAACTCTAGCCCTCTCAAGACGTGGCTTCTCAATCCTTGGTCCTCTCTCATCCTTATCCTTCCCAACTCTTGGTTCCTTGTCAACCCTTTCCTTCACAACCTTTGTAGCTCCATGACTCTTAGAACTGAGAGTTGGTACTGTCAATTGTGGCACAAAAGTCTGAACCTCTAGGCTGCAAGCGATATGACACCAAACTATTCACCTTGTGAAGGATCACTTCTTGCTTGTGAAAGTCTATTGAAGCGCCAACTGTACTAAGGAAAGGGGTTCCCAATAACAGAGGTAAATCCTTCTCTTCTTCCATTTCCATCACAGTGAGATCAGTTTGGATGATGCATTCTCCAATTTTCAAGTGATAGTTCTTGAACACTCCAAGAGGAGACTTAGAAGTTGCATCTCCAAACATGATTGAAGTAGTAGGGCGCTGCAAGGCTCCAGCAATGCCTAGCTTCTCTGCCATGGAGAGAGAGATCAGATTGATGCTTGCTCCAGAATCCACTAAGGCATTGTCAATCTCAAGATGCCCAAGTGTGCAAGGGAGAGTGAATTTCCCTTGATCCTTGACCTTTGGTAGGAAGGTGGGTGAAGTAAGCAGGTTGAACTGATGAGTAGACTCTTGTAGGACCTCTGAAACTTTATCACTGTTGGCTAGAACATCCTTGACCATTTGCATTTGATCAAATGCCTCACTCATGCTATCCATAGGAGGCAACTCAATTCCAATCCCACTGAGATCTCTTCTGAACTTGTGAATCACTTCCTTGTGACCTTGACTAAGTAGGCGAGACGAGGAAGCGGCAACCGGTTGGTAAGGATCAAGCAAAACAGGCTTTCGGACAGAAGAGGTCGGACTCGATCGAGCTAGAGTTGGACTCGATCGAGCTGCCGATCGAGCTTGTCGTGCGAGCTCAACTGGTGAAGTGTGAATGGCCACAGTAGGTGCATGCACTTCTGGTTGATCAATCTGGACTCCAGGAGCCTCAGCAGCAACAATCTCTTCATCATTCAGCAGTAAACAAAAATCTTCAATGACCCTTTCTTGATCCTCTTCTTCAACAAGTCCTTCTTGAGTGAAGATGACCTTGCACTGTTCCTTGGGGTTCTGAATAGCTTTACCAGGTAGTTGTCCTTGCTTTGTAGCAGCAGCAACAGAAGAAGCATGATTCTCCAGAGAGTAAACCCTTGTGTTGAGGTTCTCGATCTTAGAGTTTATTTCAGCTAGCTTCTTGCTTGTGTCCACTACCCCATCAGCTTGCCCTTGAAGTAGTTGCTTTAGCATTGCTTGAGCTCATTCTCTTGTGAAGGTGCAGGCTGGGGCGGTTGGTGGGGGAAGCCTGGTGGGATATTCATTTGTTGTCCAGGGAAAGTGCCTTGTGGTCCTTGGTAATTGTTCTTTTGACCATACCCATGTTGTGGCCTTGACTCGATCGAGCTGCTTGTTGTTGAGGATAGACTTGGTCCTGAGGGTTAGCAACATCAGTGTTGCGGTATGACATGGCAGGGTTGGACTTGTAGTTATAGTATCCTTTGTTGTAACCTCCTTGCCCATTGCTCATGTAGCACACCTCAGCAAATTGTGTATCCTCCCCTTCTTGGACTGGTTCCATCTCCTCAGCAGACACAAAGTTGACTTTCTTCATTGTGGACTGAGCTAGGATCAGCTTATCCAACTTCTCATTCAATGCCTTAACATCTTTTCTCAACTTTTCGTCTGACTCGATCGAGTGGTGGGTCGAGCTCCGGTTGGTGCGATCATACTCTTCTCCATAGCTTCCATTTGAGTTAGCTATGTTCTCCACAAGTTGCCAGCCATCATCTACATCCTGGTTGAGGAAGTTCCCATTGCTAGCTGTGTCTAGCATCTCCCTATACCTAGGCAAGCATCCTCTATAAAGAGTGGAGAGTAGTGATTCATTGTTGAATCCATGGTGTGGGCACTGACTTGTGTAGCCTTTGAACCTCTCCCAAGCCTCTGCGAATGTCTCATTGTTTCGCTGGATGAAGCTGGATATCTCTCCTCTAAGCTTGGCTGTGCGACCGGTGGAGAAAAACTTAGCAAGAAAGGCCTTCTTGCATTCATCCCAAGTGGTGATTGTGCCATGGGGCAAGCTCTTCTCCCATTGGTGAGCTTTGTCAGCTAGAGACATAGGAAAGAGTCTCAGCTTGATGGCATCTTCAGAGACACCATTGATCTTTGTCAAATCACAAAGCCTATCAAACTCATCAAGGTGGTCAATGGGGTCTTCACTTGGCAATCCATGGAACATCTTGTTCTGGACAAGGTTGATCATTCCCAGCTTGATCTCAAAGTTGTGGTTCTGCACTGGTGGTGGAACAATCCCTTGTCTCTGTTGGTGGCGGTTTGGAGCATCTCCTTGACCAATCGGTCGAGTTTGCCTAGCTCGACCGAGTCCATTGCCCAAAGGGTTTCCATTCCCCTCTGGTACATCCATTGTATCAGCAACAAGCACCTCAGGTTCCTCTTGTACCCTCTGTGACCTCTGAACCCTCTTTCTACCCGTTGTAATGTCTAGCTCGACCAAGTCTTCAGTAGACCGACTCGATCGAGTTCGCATACACCTGCAAAAAGAGACAAAAACCCAGCAGTACAATAGAACAGGGGTGGTATAGCTTGATCGTCCAAGTGTGTTTGAAACTCAAATGCAACAAAAATATTCCCAAATCGGCAACGGCGCCAAATTGATGATAGGATTTGTGTGTGTGTGATATGAAATGAGATGTGGAATGCAATCAGTGGTAATGATGATGGTAAGATGCAAACACAAACACAGTCAACAATTCCTCTTAACCATCATAGTCATGTAGTATAAGAGGTTATCAATCCAAAATGGGAAACTTGTCACTCTATGAGAATATGAAACAACCAGAAAGTCAAGCAAGCAGTATAGATTTGAAGTAACACTAACAACCTAAAAATGAAATGCAGTGCAATAAAAGTAAACAAAGCAGTAAACAACAGCTCGACCAAGGACTCGAGTCGAGTAGGAACAGAGTACCAGCTCGATCGAGTTTAGGGTCGAGTTGAGACAAAAAAGCTAAAGGTGACGACTTTAACAAGATAAGAGAGAATTAGGGTTCAAGACAGGGTTTTGCAATCAAAGGAATCTACACTTAATCAATCTAGCTCTTAAAACTCCTTGTATCAAGGCTTCTCTTGATATTGGGCTTCTCAATGCCTAGCCAACCCTTTCCCAAGGTGGAGGCTATCAACCAAGGAATGATCTCAGAAACAGGGGGTTAGCCAGTGAGAATCAAACCTTGGAGGCTATAGGATCATTGCCCAAACTAATCCATCCAACCCCTTAGACCTCTATTGTCTAGAGCAAGAGATATTGGAGCTCTTAGTGGATCTTTTCCAGCGAATGCCATCACTTCGTGTGGGGAATCGCCTAAGGACTTACAAGCCAGGGGTAGTGGTCATGTAGCCTTAAGATCTATCCAAAAGAGAGAGAATCTAGATTAAGACCATAAGC